CTAAGCAGCCCGACCCTCCAAGTAGGTGCTCAGTTCTGAGTTGGCCCCTAGAGCCCTTTGAAAAATACTAGTACACAGGGTCCCTTATCAAAGCCATTAGGGAAAATATTAAATGTTTCAGGGGCCTACCCAAAAACTGAGGAGCAACAAATCCTCAGCGGGTGTACCTTCAGGGGCCCTTGGATATGGTCGGGATTCCATGGAGAGAAGGTATGTATGACACGCCCCATGCATGTTTATACGCCTAAAAAAAGTTGAGCACTTCCCAAAGGCCACGTCACCTTATCTACGCAGGGACATTACAAGCGTTGTTACATTTCCAAAAAAAAGGGCTTCCGAATCTAGAATCCCAAAACCCAACACCCAATCCCCAAAACCCTAAGCCCAGAAACTCCTACGCCATCACAGCCCATAGTTCAGCTCTCACAGCCTCGAAGATCCTTGGAATGTAACCTCGAATGCAACCTCAGCTACCGGGATTCCTACTTAAGGGTTGCTAGGGTTAAGGGCTTTGGGTTTAGGGTGGGAGTCCTACTGGGAAGTTCATGGGGTGGTCAGAAGTTGGGTGCCGCCCCCTACGCAAACAGTCTTTATTAGGGGGAAGGTTGAAGGGTACCGAAGTCTATACATATATGAGCTATAGTCTAAACTCCTTAAAGGGAGGTCATTTCAGGGATTATATGGGGGAGTATTAGAGGGGTTACTAAGCGGGATACTAGGAGTTTAGATTATAGTACATATATTGGGATATTGGGTTTAGGGTGTATGTATATACATAGATATGCATACATACATACATACATACATACCTACCTACCTACATACATACATACATACCTACATACGTAGTATACCCTAAACGCTAAACTGTAAGTGGTTGGAACGTATCCGACTAAAAAACTGGGCTTTAAGAAGGACACCTATGACCAAAGTTTTGGCTTTATAGCTTTAGGGTTTAGGGTTTAGGATTTATGGTTTAGGGTTTAAGGTTTAAGATTTAGAGTTTCTTACCCCTGCGCCTCTAAGTAGGAAGCACCTGGCTCTTGTCAGGGTTTAGGGCTGAAGGCTTCTGGCTTGAGACTTTAGATCCCAGGATTGTAGACGAGGGCCTACAGTTTAGATCCTAGACTGTGGAGTTTATAGAACTTAGGGGTTCTTGATCCCTCCTAATCGACCCCAAACTTTACACTCTAGACCCTAATCCGCTCCCTTATCATAAAATCTCTTCACCCCCTATTATTAAATATTCCCAAAGTAATATGGTAACCGGGGGGTTTTGTAATAGGAATGGGGATTAATTCAAGGTACTGGGCCGTGGTCGAAGGACTACTTGGAGGGTGAGGGTAACTTGCTAAGTATACTTCTAGTTCTATAAACTATTTATAATTACCTGCCAAGTTGATCATGCAAATAGGACTTTGGTTTAGAGTTTAGGGTTTAGGGGTTAAAGGGTTTGGGATTTAGGTCCAGGGCTTCATCATGCCGCGTCGGATTTAGCTGGGTTCCTTGCTAGTTGTTGGTAGGGCTTGAAGTGAGTGATAAGTCAATGGAAAGTACCGCATGACTCGTAATTATAACGCTAGACCCCAAAACCTTAAACCTTGGGTACTGCCCCCCCCCAGTAACAGTCTATATTAGGGGTCCTATTAAGGGCTATAACCCTATTATAATTATTATCCAACTGTTACTGAGGGGGGGCAGTACCCAACCTAAACCCTAAGGGAATTGAATTGCAGCTACTACAGGCATCCAGTCAGAAGTGTCCAGGCAGTCAGGTGCGGGGGGCTTTGAGACACCTGTGAGTTGCTCTTGAGAGCGGAATCCTCTTCCTGGTGGTTAGTAGGGAGTAAGGGAATATAATCCCCTAAAATGTATTCGCCTATTCCCTACTAACCATCAGTAGTTCCTTAATTCCTGGATAACCTGGCTATACTAGAATGCCATAGTCTCAAGATATCTATGGCCATCAAGGACTTTGATTGTCAACCGCAGGTCATGCACCCTAGAGGGTCCAAAACCTAAACAATGTGGTTTCAGGCCTCAACTACTACAATCTGAGTGCTTGCCGGCATCTAAAAACCCTACTCTTAAGTTACTAGGACCCCTAGGTTACCATGTGGGTACAGCACCAGCATGACTGCATTGCACTTAGTCATGTTAAAGTCGGCTTCCTAACCCCTTGCTAGCACCAGGCTCCCACAAAAAGGGTGCAGGGTTTTGGCTAGGCCCAGCCGAGTCATGAGGTTACTTTGGAAATTTCAATGCCCAATTTAAAGTCATTTTGGTACTATTCCCTGTATGAGCCATTGTCTAAACTCCTGGTATCCCCCTTAGTAACCCCTATAATAGTCCACTATATAATCCCCTATATAACCCCCTTTAAGGAGTTTAGACTATAGCTCATATAATATAAGCTGCCATTTAGGGTCAGGTCGGGTGAGGTCGCTTTAAATTGCCCAGGGTTTGGGGTTTAGGCTAAGCCCAGCTGAGTAGCGTTTTTTTGGT